CTTCTCAGAGTTAGCCATAGCTTGTTGTGATCCACACAGTCAAAAGCCTTTGCATAGTCAATGAAGCACAGATAGACATTCTTCTGGTATTCTCTGCTTTTTTCCAAGATCCATCTAACAGTAGCTATAATATCCCTAGTACCACGACCTCTTCTAAATGCAGCCTCCACATCTGGCAGTTCTCTGCTGCCATATTGCTCCAAACGTTTTTGGATAATTTTCAGATTTCAATCTTGCTTGCATGTGATATTAATGATATTGTTCAATAATTTCCAAACTCTGTGGGGTCACCTTTCTTTGGAATGGCAACAAATATCGGTCTTTTCCAGTCAGTTGGCCAGCTGGCTGTCCTCCAGATTTCTTGGCAGAACTTAGTGAGCACATCCAGGGCAGCATCTGTTTGTTGAAATAAATCAATTGGTATGCTGTCAACTCCTGGAGCCTTGTTTTTTGCCAATTCCTTCAGAACAACTTGAACTTCCTCCTTCATCACCATAGACTTATTTTCTTAAAATATAATCAGAACATACAAGAATGTCACAAGTACACCATGGAGAGCTCTTTAGGGTTTTCTCTCTTGGCGCCTTTTAGAAATAAATTGCTGACCAAATATGTCCTTTAATATCTGGTGTCTACATACAAGGACATCTACCTCCTTCGTTGCCAACTGTCATCAGTAGAAGTTAGCATTGACCTTCACTGCTCTGTCCTGAGGCCCAGGCCAGATCTCGTCAGCCATCATCCCAGTCCTGTATCTGTTGCCATGTGTCTTCAGGTTCCGATCTTTATAACTTGATGTCCGAAGAGCATAGTCTCCTGCGCTATCTCTCTGGTTCTGGTTGACCTTCTTGTGGTTTCTTCTTGATTACACACAGGTGTGTGTCTATGGAAAGAATTCCCTGGGTTAGAGCTGATCCTCACTGCATTCTGCCTGGTGGCACTTTGTCCCTCTGCTAAGGGTATTTCCGATGACCTGGTTAATGTGATGTCTACCATCTTCTACAGTGTGAAGGTCCTCTTTCCGTTTTTATTGAATAAGTATTGTGTGGGGAAGGCACCTGCAGGCTATGTGTACATCCCAATTTTCATCAGACTTACCATGTGTTTAATTATTTGTTGTTTTATATTTGTATGGACACACGTGACATAAGCCTCTTTGAGAAGAACTTTGGTGCATAAACCCTTGTGCAAAGGTTGTCATGCTAAGAGCAGGGCAGGGCCCTGTGGGATATGTGGTACAAGGGTGGGTGCTTTGTTTTCTGGGGTTCTAACTAGCGTGTTGACCTTGGCAGATTGAATCTGGATTCTTCCATGAGAGTGATGTGAAGATCGTGGCAAAATCAATCCGAGATCGGGTGGCACTGATCCAGTGGCGGCGGGAGAGGATCTGGCCTGCTCTGCAGCCCTCGGAGGTGCCAGCCTCTGAAGGCCCTGACAAGACCAGGGGCCCCAAGGTCCCACTGCAGGTCCAGGTGACATACCACACGCAACATGGGCATCCTGCGCCCATGGAATCTGAGGACCCCGAGGCTGACCAGCACCTCTTCCCACTTAAGCTCCCAGCAAGCGCCACATCCCTCACCTGTGAGTTTTCCTTCCTGTAGGCAGATGAGCTAGCTGGATGTGGGGACTAATGTCAGGGGTAAGGTGCTGGGCTTCTAAAATAAAGGCACAAGGTTCAAATCCACTAGCCGCTATATAGGGCAAAGGTGGGCAGTCTCCTTTTGTGCAATTTACAGCGTCTGAAAGCCTGCTGAAGGGGCAGCTATAAGTCAGTTCTGATTCCACAGTACCACAACAATATCAACAATATGTCACAGGAGCCCAGAGACAAGCAGTTATTTGATGAAGAGAAGCTGAGTTCTCTTGCTGTGCTCTACTAAGACTCTCTGTGATGAGCATGATCCGCCCCAGCAGAGGGTGATAGGCTGAGGCTTTGTAACATTTTGTGACGTGCCTGTACATCTTCCTTATAAGCTTGGGGGTAGAGGATGGAGGTGGTGCTCATATGACCCACAACACTCACTCTTTTGACAGTATCTGGAGCACTTGAAGATGGTGTAGCTGGTAGGGACAGCACCAGGCAAGGATGTGAAGTCCTACTTTCTCAGACCAAGGGTTCACCCCCACAGTGTACTGTCGTCTTCTTCTGTTACAGGTTGACCAGTGGAATGTAGGTCTTATGGATATCTAGCTTCTCAAGAAACACTTATTATCAAGTTGTAACATACTCATGGGTGATCCTCCAGTGCAGTTTTGGTGGTTATAAACTACATGAGAGGCCCCAGGCCCATAGACCCACATCTTCAGGGTCCTGATGAGGGCAGTCTTTACCTTGACCCTCTAGAATTGGAAGTTTACTGTCAGGGCACACTGACTGTCCCTGCTTCACAGGGTGGAGATGCAGGACTGACCGTTTCACCATGGGCTAGCTGTACTCATTTCTTCTCGTTTAACTTGGGTGAAATAATTTTAATAAAAATCTAACTAGAATTACTTTTTTTTTTTAAAAAACTGTAAACAAATAAAATATTGATGCCTAAACTATCCTCTTTTGGAAGTAGCTTTGAATTCTTACCAAATCTTAATGTTTTTGTATCTTTTGGAATCTGGAAAGAGTGAATCGAAATAGCAACTATAATCATTTATTTTTCCACCTTCTAGGGTATAGACAGTTAGGATGGTGCATTTCTTTAGCCACATCATGGAGAAGGATCCTGTTCATTCTAGCCAAGGCCTTTGTGGCCACATGACTGGCTGTTGAGGCTTTGGGCCAAGAGATGCTATCTCTGAAAGTTTAGTGCTTGATGCCAACCACCAAAATTTCCTGCACAGCTGAGCCCTGTCAACTCTACTGGATTATGTAATATATGCCTGAGGACAACCCCCGAAGTCTCCAAATTTGGGATGAACATGTTTAATCACACAGCCTCTAATGGGGCAGAAACCTCCTTTACTCATGCTCCATCCAGGCCAGAGAAGTCCCACAGGAAGAATTTGAACTCCAACCTAGTCTCTGCCAATATAGTGACTGTGATGTGGGTCCTGAGACCCTCCCCCCAAGCCTATAAATAAAATGTGTAGTTATTCCTTCAGCGTCTCCAGGGTGCCTTCAGAGCCAGGCCTCCCTTCAAAGCTGGCTTAGTCTTTCTGAGATGGCTCACACTAGCAACATCACTCCACCTTGGGCTGAAATGGCATGAGGGCTCAGATGAGGGAGAAAGGGAACTGCCAGCTCTGTTGGGAGCTGTATTTGCACTCTCCTCACCTTCTCTGTGCTAGTTCATATGCGTATGTTATTTTTATCATCTAGAAGTATAGTTCTGTCTTCATTTTATGGAAGGAAAATACCAGAATTCCTGGTATGGGCAGTGTGTTGACTGTCAGGAAGAAGTACAGTTGGCTTGTCATCTGTGACAGGTCCTCACTGAGCATGTACTTTTGTCATCCCCAGCGGACAGCACCTTTGACAGTGGCCAGGGCTCCACTGTGTACTCAGACTCCCAGAGCAGCCAGCAGAGCACCGTGTATAGCTCGCTCCCAGACGCCCTGCCTTGTGTCTACAGCCCCCCAGTGAGCGAGGGGCCCGGCCTGCCCAGCAGTCTCTCTACGCTGGGCACTTACCAGCAGCCCCCTGCGGTGAGTCCACCTGCTCTCCTGTCCATGCTGCCAGGGGATGGGCGCATCCTGTGCCTGAGGGTGGCAGTCGCCACAGGGAAAGAAGCAGAACCAGCAGCTGGAGGGGAAGACAGTCTTTGCTGGTCACTACAGAGCAGCAAACGGAAGTGGTTGTAAGTCCCTGTGTTCCTAGTGCTGCGTAAGACAAAGTGATGTCAGCATGAACACACACATAACTAAGTAGCTGGTGGTCCCACCTAGGACTGCGATCTCAATAGCTGCTGGGCAGGATAGTGTCAACCATGACCCCAGGTTGAAGACTTTGCAGGTGCTTAGGAGGAAAATGTAGTTGCTGAGAATGGAAAGCCTGGTTGTGGAAGGTGGCATTCAGCCTTTCAGTTTCTATTTATTTATTTATAAATTTTTTTAAATTGTCATTATTTTTGTGTGTACCATCAAATCAGATCTGACTGGTACAGGAGATTGTTCCTCCTTCTCCAGCAGAGCATCTGCTGGATTCGAACCACGCACCTCTGAGATTGCAGTGCAGCTTCTTGCCACAAGGCCACCAGAGCTCCCTTATTTTTTATTTATTTTTTTAACTCTGAAAAAACAAAGCGGACTTTTTAGTTAACAGTCCTGAGATCCAGAGTGGTTACTCTGGAGCTGCAAGTTGTTAGAGAAAATCCTTGGGATAGTTTAACTGCCCAGGGGACTCCATCCCTTCCACAGCCCTCTGCATGCCATGTGTGTCATGCACTGTGGCACTGCCAGCCATTTGCTGCCCACCTCCTGTGCACCCTGATGTAGTCATCAAGGTGAGGTCAGGCTACTTGCTCTCCAAAAAGCTATAAAGCAAGGTTGTCACTTTAAAGGTAAAGATGTGCTTGCTGAAAGTTATGGTTTTTCAATTGCATGTGAAAGCTGGACAATGAAGAAGGAAGACAGAAGAATTGGTGCCTTTGAATTGTGGTATTGGTAAAGAATATTGAGTATGGGCTGCCAAACAACAAATGAGTCTTCAAAGAAGTGCATCCAGGGTGTTCCTTAGAGGCAGGGATGGTCAGGCTTTGTCCCACACTTTAGACAAGTTATCAGGAGGGGCCAGACATTGGAAGGAGACATCATGCTGGCCAGCTGCCTCAGCTGGGGCCTGGCACATCCTACCCCAGGCTGCCTATGAATCCAGTGTGGAAGGTTGGAACCCCTACCCTACTACTAACATGTGCCTGCTGTATCTCTCACCTTAGGCTGTTGTCACCACTCCTTGAGGTAGAGGGCACTGTTTTCTGGCCATTCCCTCCAGAAGTCTCTCCATGGGGCAACTTGAATTGTGCTGGAAACCTTGGAGAGAGATGACAGGGCCTTCTGAAGCAGATGGGGGCAAACAAATATGTATGAGGGGACACTCCTCCCCTTCACTTCCCATTCCACAAATCCCTTTCCTTCCATTCTTCCTTCTCTTTCACCTCTCATCTGCCCCTGCCCACCTGTCCTGGAGCCTTGACCTAGGACTGACAGCTGCTCCCCACAGGATGTCACTGTGGAGAAGGTTGTGGGTAGTCAGCCATGCCCAGCCTCAGGCAGCATTGAGTCTGCTTGGTACTGGACATATGTGGTGTTTTCACTGTTTGCTGTGCACAGCCTCTTTATTGGCAGAACTTCTGGTCTAAATAAACACTGTTCTCTCTCACCAGCCTCTGTCACTGGCCCAGCCAGCACCCTTGAAGACAATCCTGGCCTCCCAGTCTTTGGGCCCCCTCCAGCCAGTGCCCCCACACCTGACCCAGCACCTGCCTCCTTACCTGCCTCCAGCTGCTCAAGTTGTGGCCTCCACACCAATGAAGCCGCTCCAGGTGCCACAGGTGCCCTTGCCGCCACCTGCTCAAGTTCCAGCTCCTCAGGTACCTTTGTGTTTCACCCCTAGCTTCTTAGCCCACCCAGGCTGGCATGCAAGGAGGCATGGGAAGTTTGGCCCTTGGCTGCAAGCAGGGCACTCAGCCTGACCTCCTGACCCTTAGTACAAGGTGGCGCCCACCTTCCCTTCTTCCTTCAAAGATATCCCTGCTTTCCACCTACACTCTTGTCACCTAGAAACACTGAGGATAGGTCCTCTGCTGAGCTGTTTCTCTGTGTCCTCTGTATTCACTTGGACAGATTATGGACTCACCTAGGTTTTCTCAGGGACATCAAAGTTCTTATGTTGAGATCCCTCTAGTGATGGAGAGCATACACCCAGTGGCCAGTTCCCCCGTGCTTTATCAGCAACATGCCTATTAGCAGAACTTTAGAACATACTAAGGACATCAGTTAGGAGCATACTGGTGTGGAGTTGTGTTAACTGAGTGTCAAGATTAGCGCAGAAGTGCTGAGCTTAGTGTACAAAGCGGTCCTGAGAAGTTGGGCTTTGCTACCACACTTGACTGGTAGGAAAAACCCAAGGCCTTCTTGTGTTGCCCCCATGCCTGCTGGAAAACAGGTCACAAACTGACCAGTCTCCCTGACCACAGGGAAGATTGGTCACCAGGCCATTAGGTTCAGGTTGCAAATGCAATCTCTAACATTTCTCCATGGGCAAACACTGACAGTAGTGTTGCTTTCTGATGCCCTGTGATTATAGGGACACCCCCCGCCTTCTGACTGTTAACGCTAACCTATGCTTCCATGATGCTTGGCGTGGGTGAGTTCTTCAATTTCAATTTTGCTCAGCAATAGTAGTATAGCAAGTGTGTCCTATTCTGCACATGGCATTTTCTGTTAGACAAGTGAATATTAGTGTGATTTATGATACCACTTAGAAGGTTCTTTCATAAAAATGATGCCTTATCCAGTCCTGTGCCATGTTCATACCACACTGTGAACTATTTCAGACACACCTCCAAGTGACAGTGTTGCTGGTCAGTGTGGTATTTGGGGTGGTTTTTAAGCTAAAAGAAGCTGCCCTAGAAAAATTTTGCTGCCTTGTAATTGTGAATTCTGTGTGTTTCACCAGGAAATTGTTATTTAATAGAGAGAACTTAGTAAAATGCTTGAAGTATGAAACCCTTGCAGCCAAATGTGGGATTCCTCCAGGGTATGAAGTGAGAAGACAGATTGACAGGCAGAAGGTTCTGCACGGCCTCAGGCCACAATGGGATCTTGTCTGGTTGAGGTTGGCCTGCCTGATGTCGGTCTGCCTGCTAGCATGGATGCCGCTTTTCTATGCTGTCCACCTGCCTAAATGCTACACAGAGAACAACCCATCCTGCAAAGAGGTGCTCAATGAATGCCTTCACCAGATACCCAAAGAATTTGGTTTCAGTTTGAATTTATATTTATAACACAGGTTGAAGGACATGAAACCAGAGTTTTTGCAGCTTTGTGGAACCAGTCTAGAGGCCCTTACAGTTCTGACCTTTCATGAGCAGGCATTTGAGCCTGTAGCCACTGATGTGGCCTTGGTGTCTGCTGCCCCATGTGCCTCACCAGCAGTGAGAAAGACACACTGACCAACCCCTGTAAAGCCGTTTTTGTAGGGTAAAGTGAGATTTCCCACAGTAGACCATCCCGTCTGCATTCTGTGCCCACTGCAGGCCTCTTCTGACTTTCCTCTATTTCCTCTATCATATCCATTTCATCTAGCAGCCACCCAGCAGCACTGTGGTAACAAACACCTGGGCTCACCTCATGCACCATTGTGATCTTTTGTTGCCGTTATAAAGTTAACCAGGAGTGGCTAAGCCCCAGGCATGGCAGGTTTGGTGTGTTGGCTTTGTGGTAGCTTAGGGCCTTGGTGATTGATCTGCTCTTGTGTCTTTTTCAGATGCCTCAGCTTCCCGTCATTCCTCCCGTCCCTGTCACCCCCATGACAGGGGCTGATGGCCTCCCTCCGGCCCTCCCTGACTTGACAGCTGCCAGCCTGCCCCCTGGGCCACCTCCACCACCTCAGTATTTCTCTCCAGTGATCCTGCCAAGCCTCCCTCTCAACCCCACTTCTCCAGCCTTGCCTTTACAGGGGGTCAAGATTCCCCATGCCCCCCTGACTCCCCTGGCAGTGCCCTGCCAGACCATTGTACCAAATGTTCCAGGCCCCAGCACTACCATCCCACTGTTGGCCATGGCACCACCAGGCATGGCTGCCCTGTCCATCCATCCTGCCATGACCCAGCTGCCTCCGCAGCCTGTATTCCCAGCTTTCTCACATATCGTGCCGAATGAACTACCCCCTTCACCCCACCATGCTCAAAACATACAAGTGCTTCCCCAGCAGCTACCACCAGTGCCGCCACAGTCACAGATCCCCACGCTTCCTCAGCCCCCTCAGCCGGGACTCAGTCACCTCTCCGAGCAGGCTACTCTGGCTCCTGGGGCAGGGACCCAGGTAATTCAGCCTGAAGGCTGTCCTCTCGGGCTGGGGCACTTCCTAGAATGCTCTCCCTTCGTCTGAGGACAGATGGAGAGGAGCAAAGAGAGATCCTGTTGGGAAGATGTGCTGAGGGAGAAGGCTAAAGCCAGCTCGAGCTCCTCCAACCTCTCAGCACATGTCAGGAGGAACAAGACTATGGGGGGTGGCAAGGAGGTGCCTCCCAAGGAACCCTTATTAAGGGTCGCTAAAGACATCTGGGAAGTAGAAGGGTTAGGGCCACAGGCTGGAGAAGACCCTTGGCACTTCTGGCATCAGCTATTTCTGGCAACTGTGATGCTAATGATGGCTTTTTCTCTAAAGCACCTTTTCAGAAATTACTGTCAATGGGCAAATGGGGTTTCCCCTCTAAGCAGAATAAGGCTGAGGCTGCTGGTGAGAGGTATGGTAGAAGCAAGAGGTGTGATGACCTCAGCATTCCCACCATTCTGTTTGTTGATCCTAAAGGAGCTCGCTGGCACCTGGTGGCTGGAGCTGTGGATCCAAGGCCTGTTGTATGAAAAGCAGGCCTGGCTATGCTGGAGCTGGACTGTGCTGCACCTTGAGGGCAGGTTACTGTGCTCAACTCAAGGTCAGGCAGCCCTACCGGGGCTCACACCAGGCCCTACTGCTCACAGCCTCTAGGGATAGTAAAGCTGTTGGCTCTTTTTATTTTACCATACAGATTAACTTGGAGAATGTGGAATGGTGTCCGTATCTCCATGCTATACATGCTCCTATTTTCCTAGTAGTTTCTTGCTTTCTTATTTCCAGAAGGGATTCTTATTCATAGGAAGAAAGGATAGTATATAATAGGGTGGCATTGGCTTATAAAATGAGCTCAAACCCAGTCATTGAGCTGTGTGCCTGCCTGATATGAGCCCAGCCTGTTTCAGCTCAGCCTTCAGTGGGCTGAAGCTCAGGCCTGTTTTCAGAGGACAACCAATGGCTTCAGAAGAGATGCCTGAGCTTCAAAGCCTGTCCCTGAGCTGAGGTTCTTCCCAAGTTCTCAGCCCCAGTGCCTTCAGCTAGGGTTATCCCTAATGGCACTGGGTAGGTGGGGTGGCCAGCAGCAGACCTGCACTAATGAATGAAAGCCTCCTACCCTGGATGCGAAACTGAGTCTCCATTCAGGAAAGGCATCTGCTGTCCAAGGTGGAGGGCTACCAGTCCACACAGGCCACCTGTCCCAGCACTGCCCACAGGTTCAGAACCCAGAGCCCCAATAAAAGCGACTCCTCCCTTACCAAGGATGTGGGACCACTGAGGTGCAGCTCTAAGTTTCACCCTCATCTGTCCCAAATTGGGAATCACTTCAGGTCTACTGTTTATCTTAGGCTTCTCCTTTACCTCCTTCATCTTTTATCCATATACATTCTTAAAGAACTACAAAATGAGGGGAGGAAAGCTATGAGAAATGTCATGTGAGCTCCCAAATGAGCTTTCTAGATGCAGTGATGGTGACCGCCTGGTGGTCATCACATCACACAGTACAAAGTACAGGGTGGCCCTTCCCCACACAGTCTTGCACTAACACCTAGAGAGTAGAGAGCACTGCCATGGTCCAGCAGGCTCATGGCAAGAAATCTGGTTTTTATGTTAAGTACAAGCTGCACGAATATTGTCATTACCCTTGCATTTGGTGACCTACATTCGAAAAAGAGAAACAGTGACAGGTCCTGCCCCCTTCCTCGTTCACTCATAATTTTCAAATGGACTTAGGTAGAAATTAAAAATGAGCTCCAATTTTAGGATGTGCTTACAATGAATTGGAAGTTAGTTCCAAAAGGGACTATGTTGTTATTGCCATTGTATCGGACTCATAGCAGACATTCCAGTGGGTTTTCAGAGGCTTTAAATCGCATGAGAGGAGATTGCCCATCTTTTTACTATGGAGCAGCTGGTGGACTGCCTTTGTGTTGGTATTCCAACTCCTTCCCCACTAGGCCATCATAGCTCCCTAAAAAGAATGTAGTAGTGGCCCTTTTTATTTATGCTGAATCCATGTACCAAATACACTGCATAACAAGGATTTATTTTAGGGAGATTAACTTGAAAGGGATGTGTTCTTACCCTGTGCATGCCCATAAATATGCCTTTGACTCCCTAGACTCCTCAGTGAAAGTGGTGGCTGCCAGCCTAGGGGACCACCCCCTGACCTGTGTGCACCTCCTTGTGCCATAGGTTCTTCTGGGCACTCCAGCCTCATATGCAGTGGATGCTACAGCGCTGGGCTCCTCAGTGCCTGGGCCACCTCAGGCTGTCCTCTCGCCACCACTGCTGGAGTTGCTTCCTGCAGTTGCTGGCCCTGAGATCCTACCACAGCTATCAAGTTCCCTGACCTCCAAGGTTGTGACTGCTACACACAACCTCCCCTCCCAGACTGCTGCACTCCTGCCTCCTGTAACACCATCACTGTCCTCCACAACCCTGGCCAGTGCACCCTGCCCCACCATCCAGTTGACAGTGGAACCAGGCCAAGAGGTATGGACTCTGCTCCCCTTGAGCATGGCTGCCTGTCACATGTCTGTCCCAAGCCCCACGGCTCTGCACATGGAGAATCACTTGTAGTTCAGAGTTGGGGACATGCTGGAGGGGAGATATGTACAGGCTGCTTTTACTGTCTGTTCTCTCCTGAGATCTCACACTTTTCTAAATTCACATTAGAATGGAGAGTGCCATTTTATAAATGGGGTTAAAAACATCTATCCTCAGATGACATAAAATACGGGAATGCCAAGGTGGAACCAGAATGCTAATGCTCTCATTAGGGATGAGAAAGGCGAGTTTGTGTTTTTGAAAAGGAGCTGTATGATGCAGCCCCAGGTTTTAGACATTTTCTTAGCTGCAAGTGTTCAGGTTTATACCTCCTGCTGGTTGAGTGCTTCAGCCCTGTGACTGTGGAAGGATGGTGTGGACAGCGATGCCACCTTTTCTCTTCACTCTCACTGCAGGAACAGGCTGGACAAGACAAACAGCTAGGCCTCCTACAAAGCTGTGAGAGGTAATGTATTTCCTGGGCCCTGGGAGTCTCCCCACTGGGCAAGATCCATCCTAGCCCATGTGAATTGAGTGCCATGGGGCTCTTCAAGAGTGGATTGTTGTTCTGATTTGCCCAGTGCTACTAGAATTTAAAAAAAAAAAACCAAATACAAATAGAAGCCCTTATTTCAGTCCTGTCTGGAAAAGTCCCCTCTATTAAATGCCTCTTCTGTGCTCTGGGCCCATGTGAGTCCTGGCACTGGTCTGCAAAGCTAAGGCATATTTGAAGTAAACTATTGGACAGGCCCTGAAACTTCTACCCATCTGGCAGGGATAAGTCCAGAAGGGTAGGTCTCAATGTTAGAGGCAGGGCTCTTGACCTTAGAAAAGCTAGGACCTTGGCCTCGTGCTCACCTTCACTGCCTGGCCCCTGCTGTCTACCAGCAATGGAGTATGCTCAGGGGGAAGGAGCAGCTTGTTTATTAGAGAAAATGATGGGGACGAGCCACTGCCATATCCTCCTCCAAGCCCTCACAGAAACCCAGAGTTGATATATTGCTAGTCCTCTTGTATAGATGTGAAAATAGAGAGGGCTTTATTTTCTAATCCCTCATTTCCTGGTGAGGCTGGAAAGACCATGAATACAAAGATAGTAATGGGAAGACCAGCAGTCCTGTACTTCCAGAGGACCTAGACGTTGACACCTGTGTACAAACCTTGCAGGGAAAGGCCTGGGGTCCTCATGAAGACCCCCTCACCCAGAGATCCTTGGAGATGAGCATACTCAGGCAGCTGGAGCTTCTAGGCTAGTTCCCAGAAGCCAAAATTACCTCCTTACAGGTAATTTCGTTGGATAGCACTGATATTATTGGTTTCCACTCAGCTATGGGGGTTCTGACATCACTTCTGGGAAGGAAATGAGTGACAGCTGTGAAAGTGCTTTTGGAGGTGGGAAATTTGAAGGCAAATCCTCCAAGAAGCACCACCGGAAGTCCACCCGCCTGCGCTCCCGCCAGGAGAAAACCAATCGGCCCAAATTGACCATCCTGAATGTGAGTAGCACAGGCATGGCTGTGTGAGCAAGTGAGTGGCGCGCTGATGTGATACTGATCAACTGGTTTTCCCCTAGGTGTGCAATACAGGGGACAAGATGGTGGAATGCCAGCTAGAGACACACAACCACAAGATGGTGACGTTCAAGTTTGATCTGGATGGGGATGCTCCGGATGAAATTGCTACATATATGGTGAGTCTGATCTGGTGGTCCCTGTGGCCTTCTATAAGAGTGACTGGTTTTACTTCGCCTTGGTTCATAATACCTCCTGATTTTCTCTGAACACACATCAGGCAGGCCAGCCTGGTGCCCACATCATGAGCTTACAAGCTGACCAGTTGCTGTGCTATGGGTATGGGCCAGCCATATATGTGGTCCCTAGGGCTTATGGATTTCTATCACATGGTACTGATCTTATCCTTAGGAATATGGTAGCTCTGCGGGAACATCACTGGGTAAGAAAACAACATAATGAATACTCTTATTACTCATAAGTGATGTTCTGTAAATAGCTTGAAAGGATCTAAGCCTCTCCCTTGAAATAAAGAGAAGATGTTGAGGTCAGAAAATTTTGGTGGACCTGAGTGGGGCATTCTTACCATGTCTTGAGTCATGTGTGTCATCCCCAGCCAAAAGTGTTCTCACTCTTCACCTATGTCTATGTCCCATCTCTCTACCCGCACCCCACCCCCCAGGTCTCTCAGATGCCATTCTCTGAGCATCTCCTTGTCCACCATTCTCCCTGAGCTCCATGTGGGATCCCAACTGGATCCTGGCCCTGTGCTGGGAAGGAATAATCAGACACATTCAGCAACATTTAACCAAATGAACACACAAAGAATTGATTGTGTGTAAATAACCAGGAAAGGGTATACTAGTGGTTTATACATGTGCCTGCCTATCAAATGCTCTCCTAAAGAACGTTTGTGAACACCTTACCAAGCACTGCCCTTCTAGAACATCATTCATATCAGAGAGGTGTTTGAGAAGAGTATTCTAACTGGTTCTCTTATAGTCTGCTGTGTAGACCATTCTGCATGTCCAGTACTGTAGCCACTAGCCCCATATTGTTACTTAGCATTGAAAATGTGTTTTGAGTTACTGGGTAAGTATGCTACTAAGGAATTTTGGCATTACTAAGTAGGAATGCTACTAGGTTGCCTAGTTTATAGGGAGTTGCGCTGCTAACCCTAAGGCAGTATCTCTCTGGCAGTCCAAATTCACCAGTGGTTCTCTGCAGGAACAAGATGGACAGTCTCCTCCTATGTGATTTTTCAGCCTCTGAACACTTTGAAAAAGGTAAGCTACGAGTCTGTTCCCACTCAACAGCACTGATTTTTTGAGAGGTAAGCTAGTAATGAGTCTCAGACCTTGGTAAGCCGCTGCTGAACCACTGATATACACTGGGTCCCACACTGATGAACTGTACATTGGAAGACAGTCAACAGGACTGGACAGTGTTTGTCTAGTAGCACCACACACCATTAGCCAAGCACCATTAAGGTTGTTCCCTGTGAAGCACATCTGTCTGATGATAGCAATGTGAGAAGAGTCAAGGTCCCTGCTCTGAGCCTCCTGTGGACTGTCAGTTCATTGACTCAGCTTGTGTATTTTAAAGATAGATTACTGTGTTTAAAACAAACCCCTCCCACAGCACATGTTGTTGTTGTTGCTATGTGCCTTTGAGTCGCTTGAGACTCAGCGACCATGTTCCAGCAGAGCTACCATATTCCTAAGGATAAGATCAAAAATGTACAACAGCCCTAAACCCTGCTCTATCCTGTGACAATCCCACTGCCTCTGACACACCCATCCTGATTACCCCAGTCACTGAATCAATCCACCTCATAGAGGGTCTTCCCCTTCTGCGCCGTCCCTCCACCCTCCCAAGCATGGTGTCCATCTCCAAGGACCTCTCCCTCCTTACAGCATGTCCAAAGTATGTCAGATGAAGCCTCAGAATCCTTGCCTCCCAAGGAGCAGCCTGATTTAACCCTCTCCAGTATGAATCTGTTTGGTTTTCTGGCAGTCCATGGTACATTCAATACTCTTCTCCAGCACCACAGCTCAAAGGCATTAATTCTCCTTCTATCCTCCTTAGTCATTGTCCAACTTTCTGATGCATAACAAGTGATTGCAAAGACCATAGCCTGTATCAGACGCACTTTATTCTCCAGAGTGACACCATTGCTCTCCAGTACCCTGGAGAGGTCCCTAACAGCAGACTTTCCCAATGCAACACATTTTTTTATTTTCTGGCTACTGGTGCCAAGAGTGCTGGCCATGGAGCCAAGCAGACTGAAGTGGTTAACAATCTAAGTCTCTTCACCATCCATCCTGATGCTGCCAATTGGTCCAGTGGTGAGAATCTTTGTCTTCTTGACATTGAGCCTTAATCTATACTGAAGGCTGCAGTCCTTGACCCTCTGCAGCAAGTACATGAGGTCCTCCTCAGTTTCAGCAAGTAGGTTTGTGTCATCTGCATAATGCAGATTGTTAATAGATCCCACAGCACATAAGGGAAAAAAATCAAGAAAATGGAAGAATCATAATAATGCATAGTAAACTATGACATAGGTATTTTAGTGTGTGTATAAGAAAAAAATGTTAAAAACAAGAAAATAAATAATATAAAATTTATGCAGCAATCAAAATAGGGTAGGCGCAACAGCAGAGGATGACAGAAGGAAGTACTTGGGCTATTGGAAACATCAGTAATAAGAAACATACTCATGGAACTGTTTTCCAGTTGCATCCAAAACTGGGCTGCTTAGTATGACAGCTAGGAGACACATGTGACAAATAAGTTAGGCTTCATAAATTGGCAAGAGCTTTTGATCTTGGCCAAAAATAAGGCTCCTGGAATAGATGGAGTACGGACATTTCTTGACAAACAGTTGCAGCCCTAGATATCATCATTAATCTATGCAAAGAAATTTGGAAGACAACTCACTGGCCAACTGACTGGAAGATATCAGTGTTTCTCATTACTAAGAAACATGATCCACTAGAATGTGTAAATCATCAAATATCATTAATATTAAATGCAAGCAAAATACTGCTGAAGAGCATTTAAAAAAACAGAGAACTGCCAAAAATGGAAGCTGGATGTAGAAGAGACTATGTATGGTAACAGGACATTGCTGATGTCAGATGGATCTCAATAGAAGCTGAGAATGCCAGAAGGATGTCTATTTTAATTGACTATGCAAAGGCATTTGACTGTGTGGATCATAACAAATTATGACTAACATTGAAAAGACTAGAAATCCCAGAACATTTACTTATGCTCATGTGAAATCTATACTTAGACCAAGAAGCTTTTGCCTGAACAGAACAAGAGTTTAAAATAAAGAAAAATATATCAAGATTATATTCTTTATCCATACATATTCAATCTGTATGCAGAGAAAATCCTTCAACAACCTGGACTATGTGAAGAAAAATGTGGCATCAAGATAGGAAGAAGAGAGCTCTGGTGGCCTAATGGCAAGAAGCTGCACTGAAATCCCAGAGGTATGTGGTTCAAATCCAACAGATTCTCTGCTGGAGAAGGAGGGGGCATTCTCCTGTACCAGTCAGATCCGGTATGACGGTATATCCACAAAAGAATAATAAAACTAAAAAAAAAAATGAATTTCAATGCTCTGCTAGAGAAGGAGGGACAATCTCCTCTTCTATCAGTCAGATCTGATTTGATGATACACACGCACACACACACACACGAATAATTTAAAATTATTATTAATTTTAATGAAAATTTACAGAAACTTTGGATTTCCATTCATTCATTGTTGCACT